GAAGTGTGAACAAACCTTTACAATAACGGAAATCTACAAAGATGTAGCATTGTCAATGTTTTTTTCTTTTTTCATTTTAGATAGAATTTGTTAGAATGTCTTCTTAATTGACAAAATCTCCTGACTAAATATTCGAATAATATTCAAATTTTTGCGTTTTACGGTATACGTGACACACGTCTCATTGTCATTTATGGGCAGTTAAGCTCAAAAGATGGCGAATTATATCCCCAACATTCATTGTCGTAGGCTAAAATTCAGAGAGAGAATTCTATGTATCCAAACTCTATAATAATTACTTACTTAAGTGATATTATTATTATTATTATTATTATTATTATTATTATTATTTCTACTATGGCCACACGAACTACTTCAATAGTTTGTCAAATAATAATAATAATACTTATTTATTATTATTATTATTATTATTATTATTATTATTATTATTTTCTTTTATTACTGGTGCATACTCATTTCTTTCCAGGTCACAAACAGAGACCTAAATTGCATCCTGACATTTTCCACCATTTTGAGGAAAAACACTAAACATCCAAGATTACTCTTATTTTACATAGATAAATCCCTTTGTAAGGAATGGGCTATAATTGTGAGTGCATTTTTTTTATATTTATTAAGACATTGGCTAAGAATAAGCCTTTCAATGATTCTATTTTAATCTTTTCCAATCAATTCGAGTGCTCCAACTACAACTAGGGTTCCTGATGTCATCATGTGTCAACATTTTTAAGATTTCGATTTCAAGGTCCTTATATTTTGATAGCTTTTTGAAGATCTTCAAAGATACATTACACTCTGCAGGGACTGACATGTCAATAAAGGGGCACATTTTGTTTTTACGGGTCTCTAATCCCGATGTCAGAGTGATTAGTTTTGATTGTTCTGTCTGTCTTTATTGCAAAGTGCAATAAAATTTTTACGGACTGGTCTAGGTGGTGTTCATACTAATTCCTTGCAGTTTCCTTCCAACAAAAGTTGCCGATTTTTCAATGAAACTATTGGGCTACTCTGTCATCCCGGGATTTATATTCAGTGGGTGCCAATAAGATGAACCTGATACAAGATGGTCACTTGTTTCTAGATATTTATCACATAATCTGCATTTTGGGCTAACATAATTTTTCACAGTGTGTGCTTCGTAATTTCTAGTTCGCAAGCATTGCTCATATGCAGCAAGAATAAAAGCTTCGCTTTTAGCGTTAAACCCTGCACGGCGTAGCTACTGTAGGGCACGGGGTTTGTCTACATCAACTTGTATGGTATAGTCAAAATATTGACTGTGAGGAGGTTTATCCTGTCATCGTTTCTGTATCTGCTCGATAGCATTTTCGTTTGCGTCCTTTTATTAATATTTTTTGCAGCTTTAATAGGTGTATTATATTCTATTTGAATTTCTCCACCTATAAAACTTTATTGGCTTCCTTTATTAATGAATAAAGCTTCTTAATTCTTTCCTATTCTTTGACAGAATCATCATGCCGTCTTCTTTAGTTTCCAGGTATCTTTTAAAGACCGATTCTTCTAATTTTCTAAGACAGTTCTAGTTGAACTAATCCTCTGCCTCCTTAGGATCTGGGAACATACAGACGATCAACATCAGCCTTGTGATGGTGCATGAAGTAGCAAATGAGTAGCTCTCTTGCTTTGGCGTCCGTTGGCTTTATATCAGCTATGGTCCAGTTAAGGATGTTGAAACTTTATTGCACCACGGAGACAGCCACAGTGTTTGCAGTACTGAGGAGAACTTCAACGTATTCTCGTTTTGGCAAAGAGATTGATATCATCATGTAGAGTATGTGATTTAATAATTCCTTGTCTACTTCGTATACATAGCTATTTGTTCAAGCGTAATGGGGATTAAAGCAGACAAATCAGAAGGGATGAAAGATTCCTCGTCGGATATTCAGACTGTTGGAGGTGGCTGTGCCATTTGTGTTTTAGATATAATGTGTTTTTCCATATTTGCAAGCTGTGTTTCAGGAAATTTTTGATCCTTGAAACATATGAGACTCTCCTTTATACCTTCTGTTCCGGAGGAACAGTGTTGATTTCTTCGAGAAAAGAGTAAGTACAGTTCGTCAGGACAGGCATGCTCAATTTATACGTGAAGAGCAAACATGTTATTGGCCTATAATCTTTCGGACCAACTGTTTCCACCGTTTTTTATAGGAGATATGTGATACCTTTAGTGATCCATTCAGCGAATTCATTGGGATAAATAATAAACATTGATAAAGTTTGTGCAAGAATTGTACGGATTGATGACAGAAGATAGATCCCAAATTTGGGTAATTTGTCATTACCCGGGGATTTCCATAACGTATAAACAGAAAATACACTAAATATTTGTCGGATATAGTACATTTCATTATATATATATATATATATATATATATATATTTGAAGAATATTTTAGATGCAACCGAATTTTAAACTGTTTTAGGTCGACGCACTTTTTTATGTCATATTACTTTACTGTAGGATCGAAACCCCTCACATATGACTCCAAATTTGGGCGCGCTTTCAAAAAGTAAACACATATTCCTTCACTCGTTGAAGGGGTGCTTAAAAATTCGCGGGACTCATGCATAGAAAAACGTTTATTTTCATGCGAATGTTCTACTATTACAAGGCTCAAGAGGCGCCCATGGTAGACGATTCCTGTATTAGATATGTAATATGAACGAAGAAATGAAGATTAGGGGGATATATGCTTATTGACATTTGACATGATTATGTTAATGCAGTGGTGTTCATAAAAACATACGTATTTTAGTTTGTTCCTCAATGTAACTGTTTGAGAGAATACAAAGGAAATTCTGAACTTCAGGAGGAAAAGAGAAGAGGTCACGCAGGTACAGCTAGTTTCCATGAACGTTTCCTTACCTGTTTGGCCTCATCAAATTGTGGCAGAGACAATCCTTTCAGTGGGAAATCCCTTACTCACCTGCTCCAAAAAAGACTATAATCGTCTAAACTGCAGGGTAAGCAATAGCATCAGGTATTGGAAAGAGTAGGCATTTTTTTTTCTTTGAACATCTTCAAATGGCACACGTCATCAATAGAAGCTAGTATACCAAATCACTGATACTGTTGCGAAAATATATCAAGACCAAAGACCCAGAAAACTGACGGAAAGTTTCTTGCTTTATCATGACAGTTCTCCAGCACATAACTTGGTTTCAATGGCAGTTGTCCGTGACTTTATCTTTAAACTGGTTGATCACCAACACTATTCTACTGATTTGGTCATATTTGACCCCATATCTGTTCCCCAATATGATAAAAAAACAGTTGGCTGAAAGTTATTACCGCAGTGATGATGGCGTCATATCTGCTAAAGATGAGTTTTTTGACCAATAGAATGTAAGCTCCTTCACCTGTGTGATCCAAGCATTGCAACCCCGATGGAAGAAGAGCGTGGACCTCAAAGCGGACTATGTTAAAAAAATAAACTATATGGTTACATTACATAAAAGTACCTTTGTCAGCCTGTGAACTTTTCAGCTGATATTTGTATGTTCATTTAAAATAAAACTCACTTAAACGTTTGTTTTAAGGAGTTGAGATTGCTCAATGATTTATACAAATTGATGTTAACTTACTTTTCTCTTTAAAGCATTACAAAGAACCGATCTATTTTTTTTCTCAATCGATTCGTCGCATCACGATTTTCTTTATCCTATGTCATTCATTTGACCTTTTGCCATAGTAAGTTAACTTTAGAAAACAATTTTAATAAACCGCATGTCTAAAGTATAATAATGAATGTTCGCAAAGAACATTAGATATTTTCTGATCCTTGGCCCCCATAATGTGGCTTTCATTGTAGATTACACTCAATGGCTATGACTTGCGTGGCAGGCGCCATTGTATTTATTAATGCGAATGTATAGATCGAACAATGATAGTCTGTTTCTGTGTGGCTGCGTATATATTTGTTTTGTACGAGCCTTGAGCCTTGAGGTCAAACATTTTATTGAGCCGTAAGATAATATTAATTTCGATTTTGTAGAAGAAAAGAAATTAATGGCTAGAAAAGAATTAAAGAAGTCAGGGAACTGCTCCCCAAAATCTCTCTCTCTCTCTCTCTCTCTCTCTCTGTTGCTTCTTCCCCAGAAACACTGAAACTTGGAGCAAATCGATCAAAACGTGAATGTAATTTACTATGGACGCCGATTGCTTTCATTTTTATTTCATTCGAATATTTTCCTGAAATATTCTAGTATTTTATTGGTCCCTACTTCTTGTTCTTCTTCGTCTCCTTCTTCTTCTTCTAATAATAATAATGATAATAACAACAATAATAATACTGTTAATAAAAATAATCATTAATATTGGTATATTAATAATTCTTTACATCCTCTCCCTTCTTCTTCTTCTTCTTCTTCTTCTTCTTCTTCTTCTTCTTCTTCTTCTAGTAAAAATAACAACAACAACAACAATAATAATAATAATCATGCTAAATATTCATCATTATTCTTATATTAAAAATAATTATACAGGTTTACTTCTTTATCTTTTTCATATTCTCATTTCCCTAATAATAATAATAATAATAATAATAATAATAATAATAATATCGATAAGTTGTCTAAATACAGGGACCTGGAGATTGAAATTAACAGGATCTGGGGAATGAAGACAGAGACTGTACCAATAGTAATCACAGCTCTAGGCCTCCTGAGAAAAGGAATGGACAACATTGTCTCGGGAAAGATCAACATAAAGTTACCCAGAAAATCGCCCTACTAAAACATCCCATATACTAAGTAAAGTGCTATCAAGTAAATGACAATTCTTTTTTAGGGTCTAGGGACCATAGTTTGGACCCGGCTATAAAGAATAGAAACATAACACACAATAATAATAATAATAATAATAATAATAATAATAATAATGGTAATAATAATAATAATAATAATAATGAAAATAATAATTCTCTTCATCCTCCTTTTGTGGTGATCTTCTTCTTCTTCATGTTCTTTCCTTCCGTACTTCTTTCTTGTTCATCTTTTTCTCCTCCTACTACTACTAATACAACTATTACTTTCTCCTCATCCCCTCCCCTTCTTCTCTTACTACTGTTACTACTACATTTTTTGTGTCTTTCACTAATACTTCCTTTCTTCTCGTTTTCTACGTTCTTCTATTTTTCTTCTAATGATACTACTTCTTCGTCTTTTTTTTTCTCCCAGTAACACTAATAATTGTCAAACTTTTCTCACTCTTCTTCTTCTTAATATAATAGTAATGATAATAATAATAATAATAATCTTTATCTTCCTTTTTTATTGTTAGTCTATTTCCTGTTTTTATCCATCTTCGTCTTCTTCATCTACCTTCCAGATATAGTTCTTCTTTATCTACTACTAATATAACTACTTCTACTACTACATCTACTGATAATACTGCTACTACTACTCATTATGTTTCTGCTACTTTTACTTTCCCTCCTTTGACGAGTATTACCTCTTGTTTACCTCTTCTTATTCCTCCTCTCCCTCTTCTTTTACAATTTTTTACTACTGCATCTACCGCTTCTACCTCTTCGTCTAATTGTTCCTTTTCTCATCGTTTGCCTCCTCTTCTTCAATCTTTTTCTTCTACTGCCAATCCTTTGTCTTCTTCGTCTTCTTCTTGTGTGTGTATCTGCGTTAGTGAATTTTTGATAATATTGTTTGTGCGTTTCTTTCGTCTCTCCACGTATATGCCGTTTATGTTTTACTCATTTCGACCAAAATGGATACGCCGTCTTCAACACTTACATTCTTTTTAAACATCGAATACAAAACGGATAAGCGAAATCAACTGCGACAAAATAATCGTGCCGTGGGGAAAACTATTTGGGAAAACGATAAGCGTGCATTTACAAATAAGCACCGTGCCGTGTGGCGGGTGGTTGTTGTACGAAGATATGAAAGAAATCATGCCGAAATTCTTCTTTTGGACATCAGTGTAAATATCTTATATAATTCATGCTATCTATATATTCGCCCTTGCATGGAATACTGTTGTCATATATGGTACGGAGTTCCGGCTCCAGGTCCTCGATAAAATCCAGAGACGGATGTGCAACGTGACTGGTCCTGATCTGACATCTCGTTTGCAGTCACTTTCTCACAGACGTACGATCGCTTCCCTTTTTCTTATCTACAAATATTTTCACGGTAACTTCTCCCACGAGTTACTTTCGCTGGTTCCCAAACTACATGAATTTAAGCGTGCTACTAGGTTGGCATCTCCGTCCGACTCTTTCACTGTCGAAACGGTTAAATGTAGCCGTCTCTTCTACTCCAATGGATTCATGTCTCGCACTTCCCGTCTGTGGAACTACCTTCGTCCTACTTGATTCACTGATAGGTTCAATTATTCAAAAGCAATGCCGATCAACATCTCCAGATGCCTTGATCTATTCCCCATCCTTCTCTTCATCCTTTACTCTATCACGCTTCTTTACTCTTGCTATCACTCTCTGAAACCCCTTGCGTGCTACTGACACTCCCGCCTTGCTTGGGGGTGAAATGCTTAAAAATTTTTCATTTGTCCCTTATATAATCTGTGTGTATACACTTTTATACGGCAAGTCTAATATGATTTTTAGATGGCCCCTGATTCGAAATTTTCTGATCCAAATATGTCGCATTAACAAGTATTGTGATATGTGTGGTTATTATTATGGGTTATATATATATATTAGCAGCATGTTTTCATTGAGACATGTTTCGTTGTATAATTTAAATATGTTCTGTCTACGTATATTCAATTGGATCTTTTCATATTCACGGATAAGCTTTTTGGTTTTGTTATTGAAGGACGAGAGAAAATCACCGTGTTGATACATATTACTTTTATTCCGAGTACTTTCGACATAGCACACTGTCATCATCAGGGTATTGGTGATGAACATTACACTATTTGTCTTGCAACTACGGCTTTTCATTGTTTGATGTTCTGATAACACAATGTCCAAAACGTTGTGATAAAAACAGCAACGATTAGAGTAATATCCCAAATACAAATACTGTAAAAAAAAAACAAGTGCTCATTAAAAGAATTTAGACAAAACTATTATATTACAATTAAACATTTTTTTTATTATATTATTAATCATTGGCATATTTGATGACGATTCGTTTGTTCCGAAGTCCTGTGGGGTCTAGGGAAGCGAAAACCCCCAAAATAAATTATTCTTTTTGGAGTGGCTCTTTGGCGTTCGTTCCAACCCTACGCCCGTCAATCAGCTGTGGCTTTAAATAGCGGTTTGAATGCAACAACGGCCACACCCCTGTAAAATGCTTTGATTGACGACACAAATAGTTGAGGGTAGTCGACGTGACCAAACCGTCGGTAATATCGAGTCTGTCAGACCTATTGCATGTGAAGTCAGACTCTTGGCAGTGCATCAGTGCATGGACGTCCACGTTGAAGTCCTGGTTATCTATTGCAGACTGAACGTTACGGGGGGAAACGATTCCT